GATGCATTTTTTGATGGAGAGATAAGCAACTGAAATATGAAAAAGAAATTATAGTCTTTAGGAATGCTGTTATATTAATTCTTTGATACTGTGGAAAAATGCAATATTCTTGTTGTGGCGAGCTTGCAAATGTAGGCATGTTATCTGATATCTGCCTGCAACTGATGTTATATAAGTATTTGAATGTAAGTGGAGACTACAGGGGTTGGCGGGGATAGGGCAGGGAGGGCTAGAGCTGAGGTCGTCATTTGGAAATGATAAGAAAAAGTAATACAACTTTGGTTGTCCTCTCATACAATGCAGTTGGGGGGTGGGTGGTACTTATAAGGAAATTTTTTATGTTAAAAAAATATAAGTTAAGGGTAGAAAAAAATTAAGTCCTGCATAATGCAATTTTTTCTTGAACAAAGACATTGACTGAAGAATTAATAACTGTGATTAAAAGCAGAGCAAGCAAGGGAAACTGTATTTAAAGAAGGGAGGAAGCAGGTTTTAATGAAACTTTAAGATTACTTTTAGTATTGACTTCATTGAAAAATATGAAGAAAAAATTGCAGGAGAATAAAAGTTGTGTGAAAGATTTAGGCTCTCAAGTTGTTTCATTGAGGGTCTGGAAGAATTCCCAACTTATGTCAGACACAGTTCTTCTGAGAAGGGTAAAAAACAGCCTGTTGTTTGTTCCCAGCATAAAAAGTAACAATTTAAAAGTAGTTTTTAAGATTTCTCTATAAAAAGGAAGTTTATGAAAAGGTGCAGGCTGTTTCTTCCCTATCACAACCCTAAAAGTAAAACTTTATTGTTTTTCTTAAGCTCTTCCTTTAATCTTCCAGAGGCACACTGTGGGGCATTTATTTTCATGTCTTTTATTGTAGCACAGCCATTATGTGATAGCCATATTATAGTGCATAATTTGTAATTTTTTTAAAACCTTTTGTATTTTTTTTTTAAATCTTGGACTACTTGACAATGAAACTGCAATGTGTAAATGGTCAAATATTCAAAGTGCATCATTCACAGGTGAGTGACATCTGCCACAGAAGGTTTTTCTGGTTTTCCATTTGAGCTCAGGCTATCTGTTGGATGCTTTCCTTATACTAACATCAGAAATGATTTGCACTTCCTGCTGGATCATGAATGAAAAAAATCCTGAAAAAAAAAGTCAGGCAAGATTCAGTCTTGCCAAGTGTATTACCCTGGCACCAGTATTTGTTTTTTCCACTGATGGGTTGTCTGTTCAAACCAGCAACATTCTTGCAACATCTAAGTCAAAACAACTTAACCATGATGTCTTTACAAAGACATATATGATACAGGTTAGTCCAGTATCAGCTGTTTAGTTGAAGCATGCACAGCACATAAATGTCTTCCAGGCTGTCCTGTATTACAGTGGAGGACTTCCATGTTTGGGCAGACCTGTCTCATGTGGAGTAAGTTAGGATTTCAGGTGATAATCTCATCTCTTCTCTTGTCCAAGACAGGATGAGCTCTGGCCTTTCTAGCAGACATTTGTCTGACCTGCTCAGAAAGACTTCAGAGACTCTTCAGGCAGTCTGTTTCCTTTTTCTGAGGTGTAGGATTAACCTGTGCCCTGAGGTTGTGTTTAGTGGCAGTATCATATCCTTCTGATCAGTTTGATGTCAGAGACTTCTCTCTTAAGCAACTCCTGCACTGTATGTTTTTCTCATCTGAAAACACCTTTCCTGGCAATGGAGGGATAGGGTAGACCATTCTATTTGGCCTGTTTGGATTCTTCCTGTTGTCTGTGCCATCTTATAAAAATTATTTTACTAGGTTTTGTTCTGGCTTGGATGGCAGAAGAAATTTAGACCACTGAAGCCCTGCCATACATTACTCTACAAAGAAAAAGTAATTCTTGTTTCCAGAGTATTTGTTTTGTTTTGGAGTTTTGTGGTTTTTTAATCATCCACTTTTTTCTTTTCTCAGTCTCTGTAAAGGGGAGCAGATACTAAGCCAAACCTTGCCTTTGGTTCAGGGAAAACTCAAAAAATCTCCAAACTATACATGTCTTGGCTACTAGGCTCAAGAATGGTATTACATGGGTAGTCTTTGATTTGACTGTCTCTGCTTGGCTGGGAAAGTGAAATTAGACTCTCTCCAGGTTAAAGCTTGCTGATCCAGGATTTAGGTGGCCTCTTAGCTCCTCTTATGAAGCACTCTAACATCTGAAGCTTGGCCTGTGTTACAGCTTCAGGGTCGGGTCTTTGCCTTGCTCTTCTCCTTTGCTTAAGCAGGAGTATTATCTCTCATTTTGTATTGCAAGTCAGAGAGATGAGTTGTACAGACAGATGGTTTGAAACAGACAGGTTATTACAATGATAGTCCCTCTATATGTAGTGCATATGGATTCTGTGAGCTGCCATTCTCTCCTGCTATTTTCATGTCCTTAGCCACCTGGATTCTCAATTGACTGAGGCACAACTAGGCATGCACAAAGGATTTTTTCTTCTTTCTTGACATATGCAAACCCCACCTCAGTTACAGAAGAACAGACATTGCTTCTGAAAAAGATCTGATTTGGTGTGTGTGGGCATGTATGTGCCCCAGAAGAGGAGTTAATGTAGCTCGTATAATTAATGTTGAGTAAGTAGTTGTTTACTCTTGGGCTTGATTTGGTGTGATTTGTGATTGTACGACATGGTGTTCTACCAAGTTCCCTTCCATTACCTCCATTCCTAGTGCTTTTTTAAAATGGTTTGTTTTTTAAAAAATAATTGTTTGTAATAATAGTTTAGGTTTTGTACGTTGTGAAAAGACCTTTGAAAATGTGAACTCAGTGCGCATCAATACAGGAAGGACTGTCTCAAATTAGAGAGGGACTACAAAAAGTGTTCTGAGAGATGCATCACATTCCTGTTTAAAGTAGCTCAGTTCTCTAATCGAGATAACTATGAATATTAGTCTGCCTACCTATTTCACTCCTCTCTGAAGAAGTAGTAGTATGAAATTGATATCACATCCTACAAGCTGTTCAGAGTGACTGTTCACTTTTACACTGTTTGTGTCAGTTAAGGAAAGATATTTCTGCTTCCTGTCCTTTCAGGCCAGTGTTTAAATTCCAGTCTGGAAACCACTGCTAAAAATTAACATGGTGGAATGCAGCAAGGTATTCAGCTTCCCTGTGGAGTCACCTGAATACCTGCAGAAACCCTGTTTAGAATTCTGTGTGCAGTCAGAGACTGATTTGTTTAGCTCTGATATTTAAGGTTGTAGAGAGGGGTTTGGGATTTTGCTTTTAATTTGTGCACCTGAGTAGGTTCTAAAGCTCTCAGCTTTCACTGTGTTAAATAGTAAAGATTATAGCTCATTCTCTTAGAGTTACTTATTTATTCAGGTTTAATGATCCAAATGAAGCATTTGCTTAATAAGTATGTTATTTAAAATGTATCGGATATTTACACATTTACTAGCTTTAAAGTGTTCTTAAGTGTTACCTTTTTAATAATGATTTTTTAATGCTTTTGTGTTTAATTCCCTAGCTACCTTTTTCTTTAAAAACATGAATGAAAGTAAAGCAAGCAAGCAGACAGTGGCTTGTAAGACCTCTGCAAAGATATATGTGAGGAAGGCTTACTCATAGCATCTACTTTTAGGCTGCCTTTTGGGAAATCAAATCTTAGAAGGCCAAGTTGGAAGCTGAGGTTCCATACATGTCAAGTGTTGGGTGTTTCTAATTGCTCCCTGGAGACACCTAAATTAGATGTCTGAAGTGGTCTCCATGAATACCCCATGCTATGTCCTTGTTCTGTGTGTGCCAGCCTTTCAGTGCAAGGGATCAAATATTTCTTCACGGTGGTATGACAAAGGATCATGTTCCTGACAAGTTTCATTACAATAGAACAAACTGAGGAAACAAAGCGTTTCACTGTAAACTTTCTGAAAGCATGTAAATTTATATATTTAAAAAACTGTATAAATTATACTACCCATGTGTACAAATATTGTTGACTAGTATTCTTGTAGGAATTCTACTTATTAGCAGTAGATTATTTTGTCCCTTGTATATTGCTTGGGGTTTTTTTTGTTAGAAACTGTTGTATATCCTATAGAAATCAAGACTTTTATTGTTAATATGTTGTGAAACCAACTCCTGTTTTCAAGCTCACACAGATTACAGTCCTAACAAAGTGATGAATGTTTGAAGTATGATGCACAGCTATTTGCAGTGCGAATCCTAGACTATGTTCTTTTCTGCACTGTGTGTATTTCTAACTACAAAACAAAATATGGCTACACACAATGCAGAAGAGTCTTTTTTGTATCTTGGAAACAGAAATTCAAACCCGTGAAGTTTCCCTTGTTGTGGAACAGAACAGCCGCGTACTTTACATTTTGTAAGATGCATCTGATGTTCCAGTCCAATTTCAGGCTGAGCAATGTGCAGTATTTTCTGAAAAGAATGGCCATGTTAAATGGCAGGAACATGACTGTAAAATACACATTATATCTGTTTCAGTCTGCATGCTAGTAGTGACAGGTGCTCAATGGTTGTCAGCATCCTTGTCAGCATGGAGACTCCTTTGACATTAAAGTCACCAGCCTGGTCCTGATGCTGCACAGCTCTATTGGCAGTTCCATCAGGCTGCAGTTGATCAGCGAATGTCAGAGCCTCCGCTATTGTTCTGGTATGTCACCAGCCCTCTGTGTTTTCAGTCTGGCCTCGCCTGTTATTTGAACTTGCCACACTTCTTCAGCAGCTTTCCTGTGGGAAATGAGCGGATAGGTCATGGGTATGTAGGTATCTTCAGGGCAATGCAAAACCACATCCAAAGTGACTTGTATAAAGGTTTGTAACGATTACCGTTGCTTTAAGCCAATCAATGGGTAGAGTACCCAGGGACTCATTAAGTGGCATTTGTGGTGTCTGTAACAGAGTTTTGAGCTGTATTTCAGGAAATGTGGTGACAGCCTTTAATGTCTAATTGACCTCTTCTCTTTGTCTCGCTTTCCATATTTCCTTCTGATGTGTTCCCCCGTGGCAGCAAACAGCCCTGCTCAGCATTCTGAACTTCTGCTCGGAGCTGCAGCACCTCAGCCTGGGCAGCTGCGTCATGGTGAGTACGTACACAACTCGTTGGGGTGTGTATGTGTGTGTGCGCACATGCTTGCTTTGGAACTCAGTCCGGGTTTATGTTCCATGAAGATGTTTTAAATGCTAGGTTGATATTATACTCTCTTGAAAGGTCCAAGATTAATGCAGCTTAGTCATACACTTAAGGGTTATGTACTTACTAGTTTAGTAGGCCTAAAACATAGCTTATAGGCTTTCTCATAGTTCTTCATCCTCTTCCTAAATTTTTGGTCATTCTTTACATGTGTAATCACTCTCTTTCCAAAACTAATGATCAAGACAATTATTTTTATTCAGACCAAATCATCTTTCCTAGCAGATTAACGCTTGTTTGACCCCTACAGTGATAACCATGGGAGAAATACTTTCAGCAAAAGCCATTTGAGTCATAGACTTGCTGGGTGCACCCATGGATTTAAAGAAAGCGAACACAGGGACAGCAGAGTGCTCACCTGAGCTGTATTGTATGTGCATGCCAGAGCTGTATGTGGAGGGATCCTGGCTTGCTGCTGTCCCTGACTGTAGATATGCCAGATCACTTGTCAGGGAGACTTAGCTGACATTCCTTGTAGTTCAAGAAGCAAGTGACAAAGCAGAATTGGCTCAGCCTTCCCTGCTTTGACTCATGGGTGGACAAGGAAGGCACTGTGACTATGTTTTTCCAACTGTCCTTGTCTTCCTGTGGTTTTTGATAGTAGATTTCATTCCTTCTGCCTGTATAGTGAGACCCTGTTTCAGTCCCTTTGTCTTGCCCAAGGTAACTAAGACCACTATAAAGAGATGCAGCAACTGATTGAACTAGAATGGAAATAGGCACATTCTTCAGTCTGCATGTGCTTATAGTTGCAGTGCCTATGGTCATAAAAACAGTTTTAGTAATCTTAAAGGAAAAACAACTCTGGAAAAAAAAAAAAAGGCTTTTCAAAGAAAAGAAACTCACTGCATTTTCACTGATCCTTAGTATTAAGTGAATTTAAAAGCACCTGTATCAGGGGGTTGATAGGAAATTTATTTTACTTTTGTCTTTTGTAAAAGTAGACCTCACTGTACTTGACAATGAATATTTTTCAGAGCTCTTTAGAAATGCCAAATTCTTAAGACAGATCTGTAGGTGTGTTAGCAAGCAAACCTTGAAACACCTATGTATGTCTTGAAAGATGGTATACATGACAAAGTGTTTGCTTTCCTTGCAGATCGAAGACTATGATCTTATAGCAAGCATGATGGGAGCAAAATGCAAAAAGCTTCGCAGTCTGGATTTGTGGAGATGCAAAAACATAACTGAAAGTGGAATAGCAGAACTGGCTTCAGGCTGCCAGCTTTTGGAAGAACTTGATCTTGGCTGGTGCCCTACGTTACAGAGCAGTACAGGCTGTTTCACAAACCTTGCACGTAAACTCCCAAACTTGCAAAAGCTCTTTCTTACAGCCAACAGGTCTGTGTGTGACACCGACATTGAGGAGCTTGCTGCTAACTGTACACATTTACGGCAGCTGGATATATTGGGTAAGAAAATTCAGGAATATTTGTGTTTATTTTACTGTGTCTCAAACATCTTGTGGTTAAAAAGGAGTCCTTAAGATGTAACTGTCTTATAGACATACTTAAATATTTATTAAAATTATGATTTAGCATATAAAAAAAACACGGAGGGAAGTTTTACTCACTGCAGTGTGTTTCTGACTCAGGATTCAGTGGATTTATACCAACTGTGTAATTTGACTGCTTAGTAAGAGTTGCTTAAACTGAGATTTAAGTACAAGATTTTTCCAGTAACTCTTAGTTTCATGATCATTAGGGGTTTTTTTAAATGGAAATCTTTCTCTTTTGACTATCAGAAGATCCAATTTCTTATCCTTCTTTTGTCTTTGTTGTTTTATTTCTATGAAGTGTGACAAAGTATATTTATAGTGTGAGTCTGATCAATAAACAGATTCCTGCTTTTGTGCAATATACATACACCAAACAATACTGAATTTCTTTGTCACTTTTACAAGGAAGTGGATTTGACTCATTAAAGAAGAAAAGGTAATTAACGGCAAAAACTTAAAATGGACTTTCTAGTAAGGTGGGAATGCAGTAATGAGGGGCAAAAAGCATATAAATCTTAAATTTCTAATCCTCTGCAGCTTCTATAGTTAAAAATATTTTTAGAAATCTAAAGTAAATATACTTTGAACTCTTGAATACGAACTTTGAAAAGTGTAGTTTTGCATGATACTGAATTTACTCTTTTTATAGTGAAATATGAGGTTCTTAATGTAGGATGGGAGGGATATTTGACATCAGTGTTGGAGAAATTTCTTCATGCTTTTACTGACTTATTTTCACAGGTTTAGTTGCAAGAGAAGATTTAAATGAAATGGAATAAAGTAGCTGCACTGTATATTTTTAATATTTAATGGTTTTAAAGAAACTACTACATTTAGGTTGAGAGAGATGCTGGAAAGAATTGAAAGCCCTCAACTCAAGTTTAAGGCGATCAGCATTTCTCATTACAAAAAATTTACCATATGGCCTTAGATTGTCGTTCCAGTATAGCTAGTACACTCTTCTATCATGAAATACTCTTTTACTCATCTCTGACTGAGAAGGTTGCCTTCTGACCAACATGAGAAGGGAGGATGAACAGATATAAACTTAACTCCCCCTAGTACAAATTGTAGAGACTTGATGTATATGTCCATGGGAGGTAATGTGTTTTGCGTATCCTTAAAGGAATCTGTTTTGTAGCTAGATTATCAAGGGCACATTTCCCTATTTGGACATGAAAAATTTCCAAATGGCATAGTGAATGAAGTCTTTCATAAGCACGTATGGTCTCCTGACCACCCACTTCAATGCATTTCTGTTACAATGGTGTTGTGTCTGCCCACAAAGTGGTCTGACCTTTTCACTAAACCAGGGGCTGCCCAGTGAATAGTTCAGCTGTGTTAAGCCTATGGATAGTCTGCTACTTCTGTTGCCTCACTGCCAGCAGTAGAGGTTTGTTGCCACAGTTCTTTAGCATTTGAATTCAGTTTGAGATCTTATTGATGTTTTTGTGGAAAAATAACAGGTGAATGTGGAAAAGGAATTTGTCCTTTTCCCTGGGTGCTTAACATTGTATTCCTGAGTCAAGTAGATTTGTAGTAAAACTTTCTCAGTTGGTTTTAGATAAATACTCTCCAGGAGATATCGGCGATATCCAGTTGAATTATCTGCAAGATGTTACCAAAAACCTTAATATCCACCTTCCAGACCTCGCTTTTTTCCTTCAGAGGAATACTTAGTAGGGTGGAAAAAAGGTTGTCATCTGCTGTGAACAAGTCAGTATGAGGTGATATATATGAAGGAGTTACCCAGCTTTTTTGGCAACATTAAGGAAACTGTTTATTTGTCTCAATATGGGAACCATTACAGTCTGTGGTTAAAAGAAAGAGTAGTCAAGTAGAACCACATTAGGTCATCTGGAGGTAGAGTTGCCAGGTGTTCCCACATAAGTGCAGAAGTCTCTGTTGTCTGAACTAAAGAGCTAGTCTCTCACAGTGCAGGAGTACCAAGAAAGTCATAAATCTCTGTATGTGTTCTAACTTTTGGCAGCTGATGTAGGGCCATCCTGTTTCTATAAGCTACATAAATGCTTAATATGTTTTTGTCCTTTTGAAGAAGTGTGACAACAGGTCTGAAGCTGTTAGAGGCCTGAGGTCAGTGCTCAGCTTTGCAAGAGTAACCTTGAACAGTGGGTCTTCTCTGTGATATGAATGAATGAGAGGTGCTCTCATTATATCCTTTGTCATCTCCCAAGTACAGAAATGTCTGGCTTGTACATGCATTGTGAAGGGTGTAGAAGTATTACTGCTGGGTTAGCAGTGCATGCTGTAAGGGAACTTACTTTGCTTCAACAAAGCTGTATAAAAGCTTGATGTTTTTTACTGTAAATAGGCACTTACCTAAGTAGGGATCAGAATGTCTTACCTTGCACTGTAGGTACCAGCATTGACAGTGCTGGTTTCTCTCTGCAATTGTTAGAACTTATAAATTTGTCAGGGAAAACTTCTTGTTTCAGTTATAAATTATTTATCATCACAATAGCTTCAGGACTGGAGAGTCTAAGCCTCTGAAAGAAATCTTGTTGAACTGTGTCATTTGTTTTAAGTATCTCAAAATGAATGTTACGTATACCCTGGATGCTGTCTTCAGGTGGTAGATCCTGCAACTTGCTACCTGTGTGTCCTTTACTTAACCTCTCCACTATCATTTGGCAATTCCCTTGTTACAGAATCAGAGGACCCCACAGAAGATGAAAATTGCCAGTTTTCAAGGGCTCCATAAACTTAATAGCCCATGTAAAGCATTGTTTGATGGGTAGCTGTGTTTGTGGTGTGTAAAACATACTTAAGAAAGTAAATTTATGTTTAAGTACCTAAATCGTGGGTTGGATCCATATCTGCTGTATTATAACACAATTTGGAAGAGGAAGCATGATGTAAGTGTGTCACTGAGTATATGAGGGTGTGCTTCTTGAAGTTTGAGTTCTGAGATTTCTTTTACCCATTACATACTGAGCTGCCTGTTTACAAGTATCATTTCCTTCTCTGCCCACATCTTTTCCACTGACTGACGTGGCAGGTTTCCACCCTGCAGCGGAATGATCTGGCTGTGATCATCTGACAGTTTTATAATGATGGAGTACATATTCCAGTGCTATCAAAAAAGTGGACGCCTCTAGACCTGTAGTTAAAAACTAGTCTTCAAACTGTAATCCCTGTTGAGCAATGTGCCGAGTCAGATGACAACCTGAATTGGCAGTGCCAAAAGCTTTTCTTGTACATCATATTAGCTGCTTAGTTCTGTTGCTGTGGGTCTACCAACTGCTGTCAAGGATGAAGATTAAATCATCTTAACCTCGCTCCCCAAAAGTCCTGACTGCCTCTGTCCTGCACAAAAAGAGTAATGAAAAGTAGACACCCTTGTTAACACAAAATTCATGTATTCCTATCTACATACCAACACCTCCCACACCTTCCTGAGCAACAGAAAACCCAACTGCCCCCTTGCCAGCTGTCAAAATTTTCAGCTTTATCTTGAGAGCATCAACACATAGTTAGTCAATTCAAACATGAAAATGTGTAGCACGTTAAAATTCTGAATTTGAATTGTGTTCAATAGATTGAATAAAATGTAAAGAATAAAAGGCTAATCTGTCTGGTCTAGGCGAGAGAAGGAAAAGTAAGAACATTTGAGGGAATAGTGATAGTTATTTTCAGGGTCTCTACTCTTAAATATTATTTGGTGTGTAGTAGTATCTCTTGCCCTAGAAATCTGGGCTCTGGCAATTTTTATAGCCATCATACAGAGGTGTCCCGAACGGTTCTAGAATTTGAAGACTTAGATATATGATATAAATCAAATAATTTACAGCTGATAAACATGATTATTCTAACAAAGAAGTCATTACTCAGAAGTGCCTTTTACAAAGGTGATACCAGAGAATAAACTGAACAAAAATTAAAGAGCAGATTTTAATATACTGGTTATGTATATATTCTGAGAAATGGCCGATTAGTTCATGAGAAAAAGTTGTAGTAAATAACAAAGGTTCAGAAGCCTCCAAACTCTAGAATAATGCACTATATAGGTAACTAGCAGGATAAGTTGTCAGCCTTTCAAAAGCAAAGGAAATGTGCTATATTACACCTATGAATTGCTTTTGAATGTACTTTTAAGAAAGATACATCACTAATTGTACATTGTATAAATGAAAGTAAGATTGTGGGTGATGTTTACTTATCCTGTGGTGTGAATAAGTAAACCCCAATCAGATAGCTTTTAGGAAAAGGTATTTCCTAACATAAAATTTTAAGTCTGAGGAGGAAAAAGGAAACAGGTGTGGTAAAACATGCAATTTAGGATGGCCTGCTTAGTTACAAATCCATTAAAAATCTTAGTCTTAGATGAAACGGTAGGAGAACTGTTGAAGTTCAGGTAGGAAGGAATGAAGAACATCCTACACAAAAAATCTGTGGCTAGGCATCTAGATCTAACATTTTTGTAGAAACGCACATTTGGATCTTGAAGCGTAAAAGCTGTGATGCGTAAATGAGACTGGTTTTAAATGAAGGTGCTGATGCAGTAGCAATTTTAAAGCTTGGTGGAAAAAAGATAGCATAATGTTTTGCTCCTAGAATTTCGGTTGGAATGGTAGAGCAGATCGTGATGGTGGGACAGTGGTACTCTGGTAAAATTTGTGGTCAGGTGAAGTAAATAACTAAAGCATATGATGGAATTTCTGTGTCTGGCCATAGGGACTGTTATATCAACCACCAGATGATTGTGGTGACAGTGATCATACAAGGATAACAGAGTTAAAAATCACAATAATAATGACAAGCTTTGATTACCTCCGAGTAGGTGAGGTAAAATCCGGGGGCATGATAGCAAAGACTGTTTTTGGGGTGATGTTAGATGATGTCTCAAATCAACTAATCTGAGAGCATACCATGGAAGAAGACCACACTTAGATACACACTTGCTTATGCAGAAGAGTACAGGAGACTGCCAAAACCAGAGGCATCTTTCTGTAAATGAATCCTGTTCAGAGAAGGAAAACGGGAAGAGGAACTCCAGAAAGTAAAACAGAATCAGAGTAAAGCAATATGTGATTTTTAAGGAATCATTGGCTAAAGGTAAATGCTAAAACTGTTTTTCAGATATGTTAGAAGTTTACAGGAGAGTTACTGAGATTGGTAGATACTCCAGATGTGAAGGATCACTCAGATTCCAGAATGCCGTTGCAGCAGGGCTGTTGTCTGTCCATTAGTGTTTGTGGCAAGGGGGATGTCAAGTAGGCTGCTACATCAGAGCCATTCTTTCCAGGAGATTAGCCTGGAAAGCTGCCTTAAATTGGAATGCCAATACAGAAAGCTTTTGAACAAATCAATACATTGAACTATAATAAATTGTTAGGACTAAATGGTATTTATGCAGCAGTTGTAAATGAGCTCAAATACAGGGCTGTGGAAATCTTATTTCTGCTGTGTGATCTGTCACTTAAATCAGCCTCAGCACTACAGAAATGAAGGGTTACAAACATGCCACATTTTTCTGTAGAGGGTGCAGGTTAGAAGCTGCAAACCAGTTGTCTTTTACTCTGTGTAAACCAGTTGCAACTGTAAGAAAGTCAGTCAGTGGCATGAAGGCCATTATGATGTTTTGAAGGAGAACTGCATCCCTGTGAGGATAGTGTAGTTATGTCTCTTCAGTCTTTTAGAATTCATTGGAGTTCTTGGTGAAAGTGAGCATTGATCTGGTCCATAGAGGCTTGGCTTTTCAAAACCTTTAGCCAAGGAGGTTTTGTTTTTGTAACCTAGCTGTTGTCTTTCTGGATTATGAGTGTTTCAAAGACAACAGAGGACAAGAACGTATCATCTCTTTTCACAATGAAGTTATGTCACTGGTCACCAAGAATCCATACTGATCTGTTTATAAGTAATCCAGGCAAAGGGGTGAATCGTACTGTACCAAAAGATAATGCCCAGGTGTTCAGGGTAGAAGAAACTTAAGCTGAAGAATTTAACAGTGAAAAATCCTAGAATGATCTTATAGTACTTAGTAAACAGATGATAAAGCAGGAGGAAAACTGTTCCATGAAGTGCTAAGTAATCGCATGAGGCAAAATAACATTAACTAAGCATATGGTGGGGGGTGGCTTTATCTTAGTTACTGTTTTGTAGGAGAGAGATTCTGTGGACAATTTTTGGAAAACATCAGCTCATTTCTCAACATCATTCTAATGGGCAAAGAAGTTAAGATTCCTTAGGAGAGAAATGGAGAAAACACCATAAGACCTTCTTATACAGTTAATGACTTTGTGCTCAGTGTGCTGTATAGTTCTGGTCATCCAGTTTCAAAGGTACTAAATTAGTGCAGAAGCAAGACAACAGGGGTCATCTGAGATGCCAAAGACTCTGCAAAACAGACAGCCTTGAGGGAACAGAAGAGATGTCCATAGGATTATGAATGATATGGAAATAGTGAACTGGGAATGATCTCTCACTGCTTTTTTATGACTCATTACCCCTTAGTTATTGCAATTAATAGGCAGTGGGTTTGGGGCTGTTTTTTTTCTCTTTTTTTAGCATATATTTAAACTGTAGAAGTTCATATGAATGGGCCGTAAGTATAAAGAAGTTCAAAGAAGTAGTAGCATTCATGAACAGTAGCTTCAGAAATCCCTAAACTGATAATTTTTGGCAGTTGGGAAGATCCACCAGTGAAAAGCTGCTTTAAAAATCTGGTCTTGCCTTTTGTTTGTAAGCATGATTGTCCCTGGCCATAGACAAAATCCTGGACTGCATGACTTTTTGGGGTGCAATTCGGCTCAAGATGGAGTTGTGTAAGTTGAGGTGTCTACCAAGAGTTGTCTGCAGTCATGTTGGATGTGTAAACTCTTTTTAGAGCCAGGAGAGCTTGATGAGCAATTTTAGCCCACTGCAGGCATCCAGGCTTGGTTCACTTGCCCAGAGTAACCTGACGGCTTCCAGCCACTCTAGTAAGACATGAGTCTCCTCGTCTGGCTCCAGTGTCCTGTCTGCCAGCTCTGTGTGGATGTTCTACATGGTGGAAGGAACCCCAAGGGGCGCTAGGCACTTGAGGCAGCCCAGTCAGCTGCACCATTGACTGTACTGACTAGACTTCCATCAGCTGTAATGAGTGTGTGGATGCATGCTTATAAACACCCATTTATTTGATTTCTGACCGAATCCCATGCTTGATCTGACCTTGTATGACACTTAAGAGTTCAGTCACTGTGTTCACTTTTTTTGGCAGGGATAAATAGTGTGTTTTCTGTTACTGTGAGCATATATATAGGGATGCTTCGTAGTCTCTCAGACAACTTCCCCCTGCATGTGCATAATACTTGTGCTCACTCTAGAGTCCTTAGAAACCTTGCTAATGTATTTGGAATTGGAGTAGCCCACAATAGCTTTTGTGCTGTGCTGGTCAGTGCAGTCAGCAGGAGTCTTGAGAGCATGAGTGTAGTGTATTGTGTTGCTTGCTGCCAAAGCCCTGCATCTGGTCACTAGGAGGTCTGGTGGCTTTGGGTACTTGGCTTCTGTAGTTAGAGACTCAGCTTGAAGTTGTAAAGTTGCCCCCCAGTAGAAAATGATGGAGTTACTTATGCAGCTGAGTTAAGAAAATACAATAGGCTTCTTAAAGGTAAAATTTCTGCACTGTCTCTGAGAAACTTAGAATTTGAAATCTAACTGAAATAATCTAAATAAAAATTGTATTATAGTAGCATTTTTTCATGTCAGTATTAGCAACTTTAATAAAAAAATAAATTCTGTTCTCAGTAACTTTACAATTTGTTTTGTTTCTTTTTTTCGTTTTTGAACAGGGACGAGGATGGTTAGCCCTGCATCTTTAAGAAAATTGCTGGAGTCTTGTAAAGATCTTTCTTTACTGGATGTGTCCTTCTGTTCACAGATTGATAATAGAGTTGTCCTAGAACTGAATGCCAATTTTCCTAATGTGTTCATAAAAAAGAGTTTCACCCAGTGACTCAGTACATATGCTGCTGTGGAATTTGTCTGACAGAGTTGTTTCCTGTGAATTTGTGCTGACTTTTTTGAAGAAGAATATAAATCCCCTATGAAATAGTGGAAAGTATTAATTATCTACACAAATGGGTAAAACACATTTAAATATATTATGCATTTCTTAGAGTTGATATTGTAACTAAGAATTGTTTTACTCTGTGTTAATTGGTCGCACTGCATGTTTTCAGATACCAGCCATATGTGTGGCTTTAATGAGAAGAAAATGAATGTCTTCTTAAATGTCCCTTTATAGGGTGTTACACACAAACTATGTTAATATCCAGGTGAAAGCAGAAGTTCAATATTTAGCAGTAAGGAAAAGATGGGTGCTTTCTTTTTATGTATATGTGTGTGTATATAAATGTATACAGATGTATTTGTATATACATACACAGATACTGTAGCATTCTAGTTCGGCCTGCAGCATAAGCTGTTATGATCTGGCCTATAATTAGTTGTTTGAAAACCTGTTTAAGCTTGTATAAGAATGAATTGAAAAGACACTTTGTCGTCTTGATTTTTTTGGCAATGAATTGAGTCTGATACATTTTTCACCCTTCCTCCACCTGAAATAGATGTAGTGATGTTTTACAGTCCAGCCTAAGCAACAAATAAATGCAAGAACCTTCCACCTGAACTTAGAGCAGAAACAAAAGAGAAAATTGCCAGCTGCTTCTTGGTATTAAAGTTTGAGCCAGGTACTTAGTGTCGTAACTGGTAATGTGTAGAAAACTCCAGAGCAGTTTTCTTTTCAAATTTCTGTCATGGTCAAGACTTGATTTGTGATACATCTGGTTATCATGCAGAGTACCATAAAGAATGGTAATGCATTAGCAACTGTACCTTACACTGGCATAAAATCTACTGTCAAGTATAAAAACATCTTTGTCCAGTAAAACATCAAGGAAAATAGTGGATTTAAAACAAGGGCAATACTATTTGGTGATTTAATAGTCACCAAACCTTAGTTTTAGATGGGTTTTGGCTTTGTGGTTTTTTTTTTTTGTTTTTCCAAGAGGTGATTGCTCAAACTACTATTGCACTCTCTGTCTTTAACACTGTTTAGCCTCTGGAGAAGAAAAACTGTGTCAGTGGACAAATTCTAGAGGTTTATTTCTTTTGCACTTCCTTGGATGAAGTTGTTCTTTTTTCTTTTTCCTTGAATAGTACTGCTAGTGTACATTACTAGTACAGCTTGAGTTGAGAATGTTACCTTTTTAGCCATTGTTGATGAGTATGGACCATGAAATATAGCCTGTCATTTGATACTGGTTCCACTGTTCTTGTACTGATGGCGCTTACTACCTACTGGAATAAGAAGAAAAATATTTTGTCTGGCAGAAGTACATTATTGCACTGAAGATCACTGGCAAGGAATACTTCAGTTTATGCAGTAAATAGCCAGCTGCTACTAGAGGACTGCTACGAATGATTAAAAATTTGACGATCTCTGTGACTCCTGAATGAACACTTTGAACTCTTTGTGCTGGTGCCAATACATTATAAACCGTGTCATGAAACACCTACAGAACATTTATCTGATTTTATAGAAAGACCTTTTACTTCAGATTTAAAAATTTTACAGAATCTTTTGGGAATTCCAGATCCAAAGAAGGGTATGCACAGTTGGATTTTTGATTTTTCCTCCACACAGGTGGCACTATGGGATTTCCAAATAGATTATGCCATTCCATTTTTAATTTTTTTTTTTTCCTCCAGAAAACTGGACAATCTAGATTGATTTACTTTATTTTTCCACACTGACAGATGTCAGCTGTGGTGTGATTCTGTGTGGGACCTCATTTCTTTCAATTGGGTTTGGGTTGTTTTATTTTTTTGGAAACTTAAAAGTTAAGTTTTTTAATCTACAAGTAATATTTTTTCGTTGTAACTGAGTATTAAACACTGTTGTTTTAGTTATAGGAGAACACAGGTTCAGATAATGGGAGTTTACAAAGAACAGTATTTCAAAACATGTTTTTGTTAAGAAATTTCACTTCTCAGGGTGCATCTGTGTTTATCTCCTTTTTTTCTTAGAGATCCTTGTTTGTTTTTTCACTGTAAATAGTATGGGATGTGGATGAAGTGATAGCCATTGTGCCTTCAACTGCTAAACTCAGTAAATAATACAGTTTCACTTATACAACATCAGCAAATCAAATAAGTGTTTTTGTAATCATGTATGTGTAAAGGATTTCATTCTCTCTTGCTTTTTAGGTAGTATAAAGGAGGTTTAAATTGACATTTTGTTCATACTAAAGGATTTATTTTTCTTGTGCCTTCTGTTTGAAATTGTTTTTGTCAGGAATTCTGTATTGTCACTTGAAAGATAAATTGAAGTCTACTTTTTATTTGGACTATTTAAAACTTAGCTATTGCTAACACATAGTTCATATAGCTGAGAGATAACTGGGAAAGACTTCCATCTATAGTTGTAAACTTTTAACCTTCAATCAGTGTGTAAGAAGCTCTGTTAGCTGTGGCTTTTTATGTCCAAGAAGTCTTCCAGCAAAGAGAGGATAGACCAGGCTTGACATTTCTAGTATTTCCAGGATAAAGAAAACTACATGCTTTTAGACCTTCCTTATACATCACAAAGAAGCAAGAATAGGTCACTGGTTTTTTAGTTCTGCTATTTTATACTTATATGTGTATATCTATTTATACATATGTATGTATAAATTATATATATGCACACACCTTTGTGTGTATATATGAAAATTCTTTGTATGTGTGTACATACTTATACGTGTATAAATGTCAAAAGTTTTTTTGTGTATTAATTCCTTATGTGAAGTGAATGTAATAGCGAAAGATGTTTCATAGCAGTTCTGTTTTCAGCTGTTGTTCTACTGTAACTGAAGACTGAGTTGTTCTCCACCTGTGCGACAGGAAAAGCATGGGCAGGAGTTGTGCTGGATTTCCTGTGTTGCTCTGCCAAAGTGCCTTCTGGTCTGTCTACATGTGAAAGGTATTACAGGGTATGGTAGAGTGTGACTGCAAAGTCCAATAACTGCTGTGGACTGTCTCCTTGTGAAGCAGTTGTATAGAGGGAAACTTATTCTCGTTTCATTTAATCCAAAATGAACAATAGCAATTCCTCAGTTAGAGGAATTTAATTGTTCTGGAATTGGTCGTTATCTCCAACACTAGACTATCCCTCAGTCATGTTATCTAAATTCGGCTTTTAAGGATATTCCATTTTTTTTATCATGTCCTTTGATCTTGTCTGGCTTAAGCATTGTAAAAGATGTGCTTGGGCAACAGATACTAAAAGAAAACATTGCTAATGTGCAAAAAAAAATAGACTTGCTCTGAAGTGCTCCTGTTTGTAAACTAAAGGAGGGCTTCTGTACTGTCTGTATGAAATTGGTATGGGGTGGCATGTAGGTAGATATGTCATTCTTTTGGTCATTCAAAAAATTGCTATAACTACTTCACCATTTAAAGCATCTTTCCAACTCTTGAAGGTTTTAGTAGTGTGCTTAACTTGTATTCATAATTCTGAGCTGTCTGGCCAGATAGCTCTATAGAAATGGATGGGGTTTCTGTTTAAATTATGCACATGATTAAGTACATTAGTGAGCAGGACATACATAGAAGAACAGTCTTGCGTAGGAGTTTGGACTTTATAATCCCCATGTACTTGGAGGTCCAAATTTCAGACTGAAAAAAAAAAAAAAAAGAAACCATGACCCTTGTATTTACTGCCTGATTCTTTCCTTGGAGCTCTCATGTCAACATTTCCAAATACAAGTTTTCCAGTAATCCTGGTATACAGTGAGTAGAATTCATCTCACTAAATGTTAGCTCTCTGAAAGTTAGACGTCTGGTTTAAGGGAGGAATCTGGGCACCTCTAGAGAGCTATTAATCTCCTCCTAAGATAGATATTTAAGGAAGGTGAAATGAATCATTTTTTGGAGAGCCTCTCTGGAGGCTATGGAAGCTGTGATTTAGCCCAGGTCAGATACTTGGCTTTAGAATACTAAACTGAGATTAATTCCATCCAGTGCTGTACTACCTGTCTTGGAATAGCAAACAGCAAGACCAGAACAACATCCATCCCCAAACCTCAAAACCCACCAAAATTCATCCAGAAAGAAGCAAATTAAAAGAGATGCTGACAACTTGAAAAGTCAGTGTTAAATGCCAGGATCTACTTCTGCCTATGAGTCCCATGCCAATAGCCATGTGGTTTTGTGGTTTTTTTTTTTGGGTTTTTTTTTTTTTTTTTTGTGGAAATGCATCCCCTTTCCCTGTTTTGAAACCTCATGTACCTAACTGGCTATATGTATAGTTGTGTAAATGCATGAAATTAACAGGCAAATGTAATTAATGTATTGCAGCTATTCTGATAATCTTTCATATTGCTATAATTAAGACTATGACTAGTTCAACTGCTCTTCTGTCATCAGAAATGTTACCCACTGTGCATTTGCAAAAATTGTGTGTTTAGTCCTGGTTCTTACTGTGTGTACTTACTGCATCTGGTGGGATATGTTTCTCATGTCACATCTGCAGGACTACTAAATTTACAAAAACTACATGAAATGTAGCATTTTATTATATGGAGTACAGGGGTGACTTTATTGATTTACATGTTCATTATTACTCTTTTGCAATGATTTAGAAGTTCTAGCTTTTGAAATTACTAGGCTAGAAATTTCTGGTTAATGCATCTGTACATGCTGTGTTAGATACACTTAACATTTTTCCCAAGTGAAGGCATTTGCCCTTCACTGAGATGATTTTTGTGATTTTTAGATTTCTGACTTGATAATGAAATCCAAGAAGGGCTCTTTATTAGATATTACCAGGCATGGGACAGGTTGTGATAACTGACATTAGGAAGGGCTGAGGCACAAGTCTTGCGTGTTTTAGATCCTCCCAATATTCAGAGAAGGCCCTCAGCAAGATTCAGCACCAGTAATAGCAGGTAGTGGTGAGATTTTCCTTTTTAGCTAAGAGACTAAGTACTGATATTTTAGTTTGAGTTACGTAGCTCTATTCTCTGCCTGTCTCATTTTCATGAATTGCACAGTTAGGACAGACATCCTAAATGGGAGGGGATTCCTTGTGACGAACGAGGATTTTCTCCTGCATGTTTTTTCCCCTTTTCTAAAAACAGACAAATAAAAACCCCCTCAACTATTTGAAAGCTCTGTCTTTTTCCTTGGTTACTGAAGAAATGCAAATGTAAAGAAAGTTGACAAAAGAAAGAAAGGGCACTTACCCAGATTTATCTGGAAACTCATGGAAGGGTAGCCAGAGCTATTTATAGACGTGAGGAAAGTGCATTGTTCTAGATCAGCTGTTATCTTTCCCAGAAATTTAGGTTACCATACAATTTCACATGCACATACTTCTCTAAGTCAAGATTTAGCATTTAGATGCTCTTAATATTGACCTTTCATATACAAGCTTGTGCAGTAATTCCTGATGTGTCTTTGTTTCATTTTTATGAACTACGTAGAAATATTTTTTCTTCACCTACCACTGC